AGCCCCCCCCCCCCATTCTGGCACTTAGATGCTGGCATGTAATTAACTATTGGAATAAATGATGTATTACAATCCCATGTTCTTGAGTTTAATGTAAAAAATCTCTTTAGCACCATTAAACATAAATAATTATTTGCTCTGTAGTTAGGGCTCATCAAATAAACAACATCCTCTGAATGGGGGTAATCCACAACAACAGGGCATTATTTCTTTAATATTCCAGCCTGGTTCTTGGTCATTCCCTGAGATTATCAATGAGTAAGAAGTCACCTAGTACCGGCTGAATTTAACAAGTACAATCAGTGTAAGTAAAAGAAACAGTAATGTATGTTAACTACAAAAAAGGGGCTACATAGAAATAGTTTTTAGACTCTCCAGGGCTTTTAGGTCATTTCTATCCCTGTCAGGGAAATAGCAGTACCCAGACACACTTGGAATCATTGATACAGCTAAAAAATCACACAGCTTATTGTCTTTTATTCAACACAGACTGTTTCCTTCACTTTAGTATAATTTTTTCTTCCCCTTGGTCCCCAGGAATTCCATAAATACAATCACAAAGCCTTATAGGAATTTGCTAAAATTTTTATTATATTTACTGAGAATACCACATTGTTCCACAGTAAAATGATCTCATCCTCCAAATAATGACAAAGCTCTCTTCATTAAAAAGGTTTTGGTTCTCTATATTAAATTGCACACTATAAAAATCAATTATAAATTAAACTCTTTAAAAAGAAACACTTTTAAAAGGCACATTCTAAACTACTGCATACTGATCAAATCCAACATAATCATTTCTCACGACGTTCTACATTTAAACAACAATTGTACCAAAAATGGCATCCTGTGTAGAGAGAGTAGAGCTATACTGTGGTGTACAGCATGCTCTTGGAATAATTTGGTTTTGATGTCTAAGAAAAAGCATGTTTTTCTAACTTTGAAAATATGCAAAATAATTTAAAATTACTTTTCAGATAAACATTAAAATAAATTGGCATGAATAAAGGTCATATTATACTAGGACATACTTAAAATATCCAAGCTCTCTTAATAATACTGCAGGGTTCAGTCTGTGGTAGCTATAACTTTTAGGCTAAAATAAACAGGCAGGAGACCAAACTGACAAATGGCAAATGTATCCGGCATTGTGCATGCCTATCCAATCTTACATTTCTCAAACCACAATATATTAACAGTTACATCAGAAGTTATCATTAAAGGGATATTTAATCTCACTCTACTGGAACTTCTCATTAACAAGTCCCCATTCTCCCTTCCACATATAACTCACGTTAACAGTAGAAAGGAATTCTCAATTAACAGAGAATCCAGTAAACTCTAGTAGATTCTAAATGTATGGTCTTCCTAGTTAGGAAAATGATAGTATCATGTTTCTAATTTATACTTATCAAATCCTCATAATACAGAGTTAAGGCAAAGTCTATAAAGATAACAGGATTAAATTAAAACCTGTGGTCCCCACTTCATCTGAATCCTACTTACAGGTACATTAGGACTCAGAAATCCACATGGAATTCTGGGTGGAATTTCAGATGACTATCACACAGCTACAACCATGATGCTGACAGCCCTTGATAAATCAGAGGTCTGAGATTTGCTGACTCTGACTCAGACATAGTCCTTACTAATTTAAGTCTTTAGGTTAAATCTGAAAGATGAACAGTGTGAAATATTTTTAATGTAACTCATTGTCCAAGTTTTAAGACTGATGACCTCCAGAATTCTGATTTTAGCCTGAAAAAAATATCTTAAAATATCTACTTAAACAAGCGCAGTAGAAAGTTACTTTGTGTATATATAACTGTATAATAAAATATACTTTTTTTTTTTACATACCCTCAGAGTTACAGAATGCTTTGAGCAGCTAACTTTGTGCTAGAAACATTGACCAGGGATGTTGGGGGGGCTATGTTTAGCATTCAGGTTTCATTTGGTGATCACTTTCTTATAAGTTTCATAATTTAAAGCCTGTGTGTTTACAAAAATTACATACCTCTAAGTAGATATTTGAACTCAATAATTATTTTATAGGTGAGTTTTTTTCCTCAGATGTATGTACAAAATTCAACACACATAATACTGCTGGATCTACACATTTCCTCTTGTGTTATATATACTGTAAAAAAAAAAAAATTTTGAAAGAAACATGAAATTTAGCACCAAGCTTGATCTAATCTTTCTTTTAGAAGAAAAAAAAGAAAGGCATCAAATCACAGTCTGTTCATAGCCTGGGATCAAAATACAGCAGTCTTGATAAAAAGCCCTCCGTCCCTGAAATAATATGCCAGTACAGACTGAGTCATGAAAGATACATTTACCCGTTACTTTCTAGCGATTAGGACATACTATAGAAGACTACACTTAAGGAAAATCACAGTAGAAAAGGTTGTGTTTACATAATTTAAAGTATTTTTTAAATCCACTCTTTTAATAACTGACAGATACTGGAAAGTATTACCTGGTAAAGAATAAAAGTCATACAGGGTGGGGCAAAAGTAGGTTTACAGTTGTGAGTATGCAAAACAGTTTATTCTTGTGTTATTTATTAAGCATTGTATTATTTTTGTACAAACAATGTAAACCTACTTTTGCCCCATCCTGTGTATCAGAGGCTCCAAAATAGTTTAACATATCTAATCTGATTTCTTAATACTATTTTTTTTATATAGATAGTTCCTATCACTTACATGCTTAGTGACATTTAACTCCAAAATACTCTCCTTAGGAACTCATATCGAAAGGCTAGAAACACCTTTAATTAAATGGAAACTGGTGGGTTAACTTCTACGCTATAGACACAGACATTAGGCATTTTCAAAAACTCCAGTGAGACAAAAAATCATTACCTCTAGGAAAGGGGAGCCTGTTACAGCAGTTCAGCATGTAAGCTGTAAGGTTAAGGCACAAGCATACAATCTGTTGTCAGTAATCATCCATCTTCCTGCCACAGAAAACACAAATGAAAACAAGACCTCATCGCCAAGCTGCCAGCACAATTTAAAAAACCACTGGGAAAGCATTTTAGTAAGTGTTCATTATTATACGGAGATTATTTCTTCAGCTTTTTTCCTTTGTTAGATTATCCACAGGCCACATTGGTTAATATTCCTTTTTTGTTCCTTTTGTATCCATCTATCAGAGCAAAGCGCTTTAGAATCATTTTACTATTCTGACCCCCTTAACAAAACTTGCTCTCCTTTGCCTTTTAATCCCAGAATCACCATTAGCTTCCCTCTGATGAAGCAGGAGTTAAGCCAGGCTTTTAGTTGGACACTGAAAGCTGAGGTAGGTGGGCCATAGTGGTCAAGTGAGCATCATGATCAAGTACTTAGGTTTCGTTTCATTCCTAATGTCTTTCTAACATACTAATAAAAAATTGAAATCTTCTGTGTCATAAATGAGGTAGTCCTATATTATATCTGTCAAGAAAATATTACCATGGGGGATTTCTGTGAATGTATAGAGGTCAAGATGATTAATATTCACTACTTAAAAATTGATAATTTTAAAAAGGACAAACTAAGTCAACTACCATGTAAAGTAAACTACTATGTAAACCACTATGTCTCAAATTTCAAGGTTTCTCTTAGTCACAGATGTGGCAAGAATTGTTTCATGGGTCTTTACTGTCTCAGGAGTCATCTGATAAAGTCCACATTTAGGATTGTTCAGTAATTGTGGTTCTAAGTTGTATTCAGGTTTCACATTTAGCTATGGGCATTTGGCCCTTTACTCTTGAGAATTGTAACCTATCACTCTCTAGCGTATTTATAAGACAAAGCATTAGTCCTTGCCAACAAATAAAATGATCAGCATGGCTGTGGCTATGGAATAGTAGTGAGCCCAGGAAGTGCCTGATGTTGCTGTCCTCCTGTGATTCTTTGCCCCCAAACCATTGTCAAACTCCACTCTAGATGGTCTTTTTATTTCCCTTGTACCAAACCATCAACAAAAATCAGCGAGTATAATATGAGAATTCATGATTGTCAGTTAAGTAGCAAGACTTCTATGAATGGCAAATTGTTCTTTTAATAACAAAGCAAAAGGTTTGAGTTTCCTTTAAGAGTTAATTAAACTATATGGATGATGCATTTTTCTATTAGCCAAGACAACACTTGTCTTTCAAATTAAAAAATAATACAGATGTAAAAAGAAAGTAATAAAGCTCACATCCTCTTAATTTTCACATATTGGAAAAAAGCAACCATCTTTAACCCAATACAGGAATTGCTCCTTAATATCTATGCCAACAACACTGTGAAGTGTTCAGTGTTAGAAATTTCCTAAAGAGTTTAAATAAGTTTTAAATACATATTTAAATTGTTTACATAGTTAAAAATTGCAGCTAATTAGCTTATACTTTCCACTTGTACCTCTAAACTCACCACGTGTGACCCAGACTAAGGCACGTTCACGGGGAACTGCATCTGAAAGGCTCACTACATTCCAAGGCATCCTCCATGATGTGCTCTCAGGACTAGATTTAGCAAGACTTTAAAGGAACAGGAAAATCAAAGTAATAAATTGTGCCCTCCTAAAATATTTATGCTAAGAGCTGGATAGTCTTTTCTCCCAAAGCATTTACCTTAAACATTTAAATAAAGTTTTATATGTTGGCACAAAAGATGCCAATTATATGAAACTTATTACTTCCCCCCCAAATTTTAATCACACAATTTAAAAAAGTTTCACCGTAGATCATTAGAGCCCCTAAGCTGAAGGCTGAGAGCAAGCCACTCTCCAGGTTACAGAAACTGAATGGGGTTTCAGCCTCAGAAACCACAGGGACCAACAAGGAGTGCAGCTAAGCAGCCAGCAGAATTAAGCAAGATGTTAATGGACTGACTCTTCTGCAGGTTTTTGAAGGACAGGAGGAAGTGAAAGGGAAAAAGAATGATAAGAGTAAAGATAGTATGAAAAGGGGAGATATGTTTGCTCTACAACTAAGTGTCCACTTACTTTAAAAGTGTGAGAGGTTGAAGCTAATAGAATTAAAGGTCTCTCCATACTTGGGCAGAGCCCAGGTAGTCATCTGCAAATATGAATAAACAGATAATATATGGATTATGAAATGCAAACAATGTCTTGTTTCTATTTAAGAACAGAACTGGAAGCTTAATGCAGTCACTGTGCAGTTTTCAGTGGAAATTACAAGTCTTGCAGTAGGGCTATTGACTAAGCACTGCAACTGTGATCAAAGAGATTTATAAATTTTGAGTAAGGTAGCAACAGCCTGGATGGTTTACTACTAAAATGGATGGATCCCAACAATATCCACTGCAATAAAATTTAACCAAAATGTTTCTGGAAGATCTCTGGGCATCTGTTACCTGTGCATCTGATCCAGTTTCTGTAAAGGATACTAATTGCTCCCCATCTGATGTTAACTGCTGGCCTCAAATGCAAGAACTTTTTGAATGTGAGAATTTGCTGAGTCCTATCAGAATTAGGGTGATGAGCTGGAAAGTAGAGTTCAGACTCTATTCTTTTCCTCTCAAAAAAGTGTCTGAATTGAACAAAGAAACAAAATGTAGGCCCATCAGGTCACTTTATTGCAATAGTAAAACCATTCAGAAATTAGAACAGATTTACTTTGATGGAAAGATTAAAGTAATATTTCTTGATCTGAAACAGGAATCCTTATGGATATTAGTATTTTTCATTTTCTTAGTTTGTAGAACTTTTAGACCTTTAGACTTTAGAACTTTTTGTACCAAACAACATATTACTAAATATGAATTTTATGGAATTTAGCATCTTACCTTCTATACTTTTTCTATTTAACTTTATAATGTTATAGCATAGTACTCTACTATAGTGGAGCTCTCTTGGTGCTATAGAACCTGTTTGACTCATTCCATGAGACTGAAAACTATGTAAGCATAATATTATATGTGTAATACTGAGACCTAGGTTTTATTATAAATACTTAAGTCATTTTACTCTTTTATTATGAAAACTAACAATGCAAGATCAAGTCTTTGAGTTTCAGATTATTACCTTTCCCTCCCTAAAAAGACAGATTTTGAAAGGAAGAGCACTTTGGAGGCCTTTACAGAGTAAATATACTAGTTTAGAATTATTCTTTCTGTAAAATTAGGGGTGGGGGAGTCTTAGGAGTCTTGCAAAAACTGTAAAAAAAATTTTCTAATGGCAGGTTTAATGATTGGTCTTAATTTGTATGTTTTTGCTGATCTCAAAAGCACTGATAATAATGAGGAAATGATGTCTTTACAATGACATGAGTAAATGAAAAACCTGATAACATATTATCATTTCTAGGTCATTTTCTAAAAGTTTAAAATAAGAACATAAAAGGGCAGTGTGTTCAAATGTAGGGTTTTCTATTTACTTATTTTTTGCAACAGAGCCTTCCAGACAACAAATTACCTAACTCTCCTGAATATGAAATATGGAAGTATTGGAAGTAATAAGTTGCAACTGTGTGTATGGCACAGTAAGTTGCTGAATGTCTTCACAATGAAAATTATTTAAAATCCTATTTAAAATAAACACATTTAGTGCCTATACACTTTGAACTTTCAAGGTTGCAGATAAGAAAGCTGATACTGAAAGGAAAAGTTACTGGGTTTTCAAGCTGCTTAATTAATAGCCTCACTTCCTTCCAGCCTCCTGTGTGCCACACCTGCCTACTCCCCATCAACTCTAAATCCACATGCTTTCCAGGTACCTCCATCCTTGTCTAGAGACAAGGAATGGAAGCACTTTGCCTTTCAGAAACACTAGTAGCTGAAAAGTAAAGTAGGATGATAATAGACTAACTTTCTCTCCTTACAAAGAATTTAGAAATAGGTGGATCCTGAAGGCATTCACCCTGGCTGGGTAGCTCAGTTGGTTAGAGCGTCATCCCGATGCACCAAGGTTGTGGGTTTGATCCCCAGTCAGGGCACATACAAGAACCAACTAATGAATGCATATAAAAAAGTCGAAAAACAAATTGACGTCTTTCTCTCTAAAGAAAAAGAGACAACATTCTTCCCAGGTAAACAAGCTACATTTGAGGAAGATCTAATATACATCTATATTTAGGATTTAAATGTACTTTGCATATTATTAATTTTTAAAGACCTAAATAAGAAAAAAAATGTACTAAAGTGTAATTTCAGGAATGAGGGAAGTGTTCCTATTTTTTGTAGAGGAGGATGGGTCATGACATGACTTTGGTTTTAATTTAGGTCCTTAAAACTCTAATAGCTTGCTTACAATTGTTTGAGCACAAATAGAAAAAAAGTACTGGGAATGTTAATGGGTAACACACTAGGAAAAATATATATGAATACCAATTTCTGCCAGAAAGTTTTGGAAATGTAGGAGTTGTTTCTCTTTATAAATGCTTTTAACCTTTCAAAACCCATTAATTTCATAAACCAATTTGAGCAAATGTGTCTATCAGAAATAGATATTTTCTTCACAAATACAAAGATTTTTTCCCCCATTGTGCCTGAAACTGAAACTTGACAACATGCTCAGTAAGCTTTGTTTAAATATCAGGTCCTAGTGCTAACAAATTCAGAAGTCAAAAAAATTCTATGTTAAAACTGCCAGAGTATCTTTCGTTCATTCTATTTTACTTTATTGTTACAATTTAAACAAATTCAGAAATTTGAGGTGTTTCTGGCCACTCAGGTAAAACACACTGCAGAGCCAAAGGGAATAAACGTAAATGGAAGAAATGCCAGATTTTTAACTGATCTGCCCTTATGAACAGGATCCTTCTCATCTCACATACTGATTCTGATCACTGTTGGCATCTGCTCCAAGAAGATCCCTGACCCCGGAGCAGTCAGAACACCTTCATTCCATAGCCTATTTAACAGCAGGCAAGCAATTAACCCAGACTTGAGGTTTAGGTAGATCTCACATTATCTAGAATCCAGGCTTAAATTTTGTAAAGAGTTTCCAAATAGCAGAGAAATTAAAATAGAGATAGATACCAGAACTAAAAACAGCATGTGAGAAAACAAAAAATATTTCTAGTCCTAACCTATTACAAGTATAGCTTGAGGTATTTTTAAATATTTGTAGAAGCTAAATAGCATTCACAGTTTCCAAAGTTGCTTTTTACTGAGATAGGTTCAAATTCTCATAATATTTTACTTTCTGACATGTTTTCATGGACCAGAGTCTCTGCCCTCAGACTCATGGAAATAACAGACAGCTATTCAGCGGCAGAAAATGGTTCTTGTAGTAATTAGTGTTCTATTTCCCATTATTGTGCTATTCTTAGGATGTGATTAAAAAAATAAATTTGCAATTCATATAAAAGGAAAACTTGCTTAAACTTCTGAAAGCAAGTCCAGTCTGGAGGAGGTATAGAAGACATTAAATAAGAGTCGGATTCTTTCTTAAAGAGTCCAGATGAACTTCACAGCAGAGAGTTCTGGTTCTCCAACATTTTCTCCATCTTTTCTCCTTCAGCGGTTTTATCGACGTCTCTCTGCTTCTTACTATGGATCCATGGAATAAAACAAAGGACAGCACCTCCAATAAGGGGAGGGATTCCAGCGAGGTAGAAGGCCACGTTATAGGAACCCAGCTTTTCACGAAGTAACCCTGGGAAGGGAAAAAACTGTCACCAAGAGAGCACAAGTGGGGCTCTTGGGGGGTCTCAGATCAGTCACACTGATGGCCTGCCTAGTTCCAACCTAATAACTTCATCTCAGCAGGACTAGTTCACACATCTCAGATTAAACATTTTTTTAGGAAATGTGTCTGAGATATAAATCTTTTCTGATATGAGAAAGGAAAAGATCTCATATATTTAATCTTGACAGAGACTACAGGCCTCTGGGGTTTTTTGTTTGTTTGTTTTGTTGTTGTTGTTTTGGCCCCTGGGGTTTTATACCAAGGTATTATGTGGAAAAAATATTTAAAACAAAGCTTTGGCTTTCTCAAAACCCTTCAGAGGTCCTTTGGGGCACTCTGACACATGGTGTAGAGATGGACAGACCACCAAGCTGAAACTTCTCAGACACACCTCAAAATGTCTACATTTCAAACCTCTGTTTATGAAATAACATGAAACTATTTAAAATTATAATTCAAAATTATGAAAAATTATAAATCTAAGTTAGGAAGAAAAGGGTTGTTAAATACATTTTGGGATGATAACTAACGTTTGTCAGCACATGAGAGGAAAATATGAGAATCTATGTGTGGTACGTAATAGATCCTTGGGTTCTGCTTCTGAAAACTGTTATTTGGCATACTCCTTGTATCTAATTTTCCTAACACAATCCAAATTTTAATTAGCTATCTCAGCGTTTTTTAACTTTTTAAACTTTTACTATACAAACTCAGGTACCTGAAATGTCCAGGGAGCACAACATACTAAATATCTGATTCTCCCGAGGATTTGTCCAGTTAAGTACCAACACATTAAAAAAGTGTACATTCATTGTGGATGGAAACCTAAAATATACAATATATCTAACTATGAGATTTTCCTACCTTCTGAATCAGAATATTTAATATATAACTGAACCTTTCATCCTTATGAACGCTAATTATTTTGTTTGGCTATAATACTATGACTCCTCAGGACCTCCTGGTGAGCCAGGGCTTTGTGCTGCCAGTTGCTGTGTTGCTCTGCCTTCTTTGGGAATTTCCTGTTACCTCCTTTATTCTTGGTCTGTTATCAGTTACGCCTAATAGCAAACACCATTCCTACTACAGTGCTATTTGTCATCTACTGTGGACTTGGAAACCCTAAAAAACAAAGCTTGTAAGGTGTAAAAATAGTGTGACTAGTGGGGGAGAGGGGAAGGACTGGAGGTTCTCCTACAGGGAAACTGTGACCTTTAGAACTCAAATTTTATTTGGTTTGCACAGTGGTGACTCTGCTTGCTTGATTCATAACTAGGTTCCCAATTGGCAAAGTTGCTAAGTATGTGGGGTTCTGAATATGAGAATGAATTGAGCTGAACTTTAACTGAGCCCTTCATGTGCCAGACACAGATGATAGTACCATACATTTAATTTTTATCATAATTTTATCAAATCTTATCATAATAATTCACACTGGCATCCAAGTAACACTGAACCTAAGACATCTTCATACTGTCATTCAGAAGATCTCTAAAGGTGAAGTTCACATAACATAAAATTAACCACTTTAGTGGCATTTAGTACATTCACAATGTGATGCAACCACCACCTCCGTCTCGTTCCGAAATGTTTTTATCACGTCAGAAGGAAACTCCATTCCCACTGAGCAGCTGCTCTTTTGCCCCCTTCCCTCCGGCCCTGGCAGCCACAAATCGAATCTCTGCCTCTACAGATTTACCTATTCTGGGTATTTCACATAAATGGAATCACCCAATATATGACATTTTGTATTTGGCTTTTTATAGCACACAAAAACAAAAGACAAGTAACTAATAAAGTATATATTTTACAGACAAGTGAGACTTAAGACCTGTAGTAAAAAATGCTATGAATTAATATAATTACTGGAGCATAATTAAATTTACCTGCAACAGGTGGGCCCACAGTCATGGGTATAGACATGAATCCGAGCAGAAATCCAATTGCTTGGGAAACATCCTGGGCACCAACTAACTCAAAGGCAATGGGGGCCATAATTGAAATGAAGCATCCATCGAAGAGGCCCATGATGAGACAGACAGCTATGAGGGCCCCAAAGACACTACACAGGGGAATCATCATGGACATCAGACCAATGAAGACAAAGGAGAGTACCTAGGACAGACACCACAATGTCAACTCTGCTGTCAGGAAAAGTGACTTTTACAATTACTGAGCAACATGTTTAGAATTCTTCAGTAGTTATTGGTTAGTCGCCTCCCCAGCCCCATTACCTCTGATTTTACATATATATAATCAACTCCTGTAATCATCTCCCAAGTTCCACTAGCACAATATTTCCATTATGGCAGCGATTTTCAACCTTTTTCATTTCACGGCACACATAAACTAATTACTAAAAATTCTGCGGCACACTAAAAAATATATTTTTTGCAGATCTGACAAAAATAGGTATAAGTTTGATTCATTCACACAGGACGACTATTGTTGTGTTGGCTGTTGCCGTCTTTTTATTTGACAATCTAAGGGAAAAGAGGTCAGTGCCCCTGACTAAATAGTCAGGTAGTGCATGTTTTAAAAATTCTTGTGGCACACCTGTGTGCCTCTTGCTGCCCACCAGATGAAAATTGCTGCATTAAGGGACAAGAAGAAAGTAACTATTTTTATACACCTACTTATTTTCCCTTCCAGCCTATAAGCTCTTTGAGGTCAGAATCTGTACTAGTCACCTTTGAACTAGATATTTATAAGGTTTACGGATCTTGTACCTGGTCAAGGCTCAATAATAAATACTAGCTCTTTGAATATCTGCTCAAATTCATTCATCAAACATTTGATTCTTAGTCCTGGCCGGGTAGCTCAGTCATGTTCATCTCCATGAACATGTTATTTACATGTTCATCTCCCCACAACTCAAGGGTAGGAACAAGTCTTATTCACATAGCACAGGAGCCACCAAATGGCAGGAAAATTAGGTGTTTGATTCTAGTGACCACTCAAATGAAAGTGTTCAATGTCTCAGAATATTTCTCAACCTTAACTCTGGGGTCAGTTAGAGTATCATCCCTCTATGCCAAGGTTGTGGGTTCGATCCCTGGTCAGGGCACATACAGGAATCAACCAATAAATGCATAAATAAGTAGAACAACAACCTGATGGTTTTCTCTCTCTCTAAAAATCGATAAAATAAATTTTTTTATTTTTAAATTTTACCTTTGAAATTATATATACTTTACTGGCACTAGTCCTTTGCAAAATGAAAATAGGCCAACAAAATCAGTTTTTCACATCCTAGAGCTTCCAGTTTTGAGAAGCTCAGTTATGGGGATATAAGGTTTAGATATTTAAATAATCAATATAGAATGTATTGCCTGCTAATATTCCAGACATAATGAGCCTATTCAGACCAAGTGAGAGAGATTAAAATAAGTAACTATGATTTGATATGTATTATATGAATATATACTGAATTTTGATTATTCAAATTCCAATTAAGTTTTAACTGTCATAGGAAACATGATGCATAATATGTAATGAAAACAGTAAAATAGTCTACAATAACATTCTAAGAACTAATTTAGGTAATCCAATTTTATTACTTTGTTGTGTAAATCAGTATAATTATTATCATCAAGTAATATTTTCAAACATGATGTCTTCTGGGGATACACTGCAGATGCACCCTATTTAAGTATCCTAGAGTTAAAGTTGAGAAATATTCTGAGACACTGAACGCTTCTATTTGAGTGGTCAATAAAATCAAACACCTAATTTTCCTGCCATTTGGTGGCTCCTGTGTTATGTAAATAAGACTTTTTCCTACCCTTGAGTTGAGGAGATGAACATGTAAATAAGTGTACATGAAGTGTTCTAAATGTTGCCATAGTTGTATATTCAAAGTATGATGGGTATAAAAAAAAAAGAAGAAACAGACAACTCAGTAACTTTTTTAGGCAAAGAACAGACTAAAACTGGACAATCAGCAGAATGTTTTAAATAGCATCAAATTTTTTAAAAAGCATTCATATATAATAGCAACTATCATTTATTTAGTGCTTTTTAAATGCCAAGCATTGTTCTAAGAACTTTAGATGTTGATCCTAGTAACAACTTTATGAGGTGGGTGCTAATGTCATCCCCATTTTACAGATGAAGATAGTGATGCTGGGAGAGGCTTAGTCATGTGACCACAGCCCCTGGGGTGACTTTAGCAGAAGTGGCCCACTGACCCCACGGTAAGAAACACGCTCTTGAAAAAGGTTTCCAATTCCAGGTTAGTCTATTTTTGGTACTCATACCATATAGCTGAGTAACATTTTCTTCTTCATTACTAAAATATGGCTTTATGGTAGAATTATAATCAGTTTAGACTCTGAGTTGTCTATTTGAAAAACGAGTCTGGCACTTCACATTTTCTAAAGAACACAGTCTCCCCACTGTCCTGATTTTAAAATTTTCTACTTAAAAATCTTATTCTCAAACCCAACCCAAATTTTATGAAAGCACAAGCATAATTTATTAGTGGTGAGTAGTTACTGGGTATGCAGGGTAGGCTGGAAAGAACTAAGGCTCGGAGACCAGGTTCTAGCTCTCTGTAACCTGAAGTAAAGACTTCCTGATGCTTTCCATCAATATAAAAAGAGGTCAAAAGATAAATCAAAATGTAGAAAGTGGTTTGAAATTAGCAAGTAGATAAAGGTTTAAGGAGTTTTTTTTACTGAAAAAACTAACCAGAAAAACCCTAGTATTCTTAATTATACATTTTTAATTCTACCTACAAACATAAAAGGAGATCAACATGGAAAGTCACTTGACTCTTAAAAACATATCATCACAAATTCCAGAGAATCTAGAATAAATCTTTAGGACACTATGGGGCCAGATTCAACAGGTTTAGTTGGTAAAGCCACAGACCAAACATTCCCAACCACACCAATGTAATTATACTAGGTTAGTTTTAGGAATATATATTTTTTCTTTGAATGTACTTCCTATTCTTTTACTATTTTGTTCAGCACAAATCTTTCCAAGATATGCGAGCAAGAGTGGACTGCTGAAAGCCTATATACTACTTGGCACAAAGTGAACTTTGCTCAATAAATGAATGTTTCTTAGACCGATTTATGTTACATGAGACCCAGGCACTTTACTTTTGGTAGTTATCCTGATTTTTCTGTCCACTGTTGGCTCCTTCAAGTTTTTGTTCTTTGGTCAGTTTTATAAGAAATCATTCACTGAAGAGTTTCATATTTATTACTATATGTGTTTTGAGCATATTTCTTCTTAATACTTTACCTGACTGCAAATTCTCCTTTTCTCAATTCAAACTATATTAATTTATATTCTTTTTCAATTATTTGACAATAATTGTTAGTTATTTAAATTTGTTAAATTTTAGTAACAACTGTCAAATTAAAATTGTTTACTGTTATTTTAAAGTAAAATTTCTTGGTTTTCTTTAAGAACTGAGTTATAGAAATTTACACATTTACTCTTCAGCATTTCTCTAACTAGCTGTTTCTACCTTTTTTGTCACTATAGTAGTGAGAAATGATGCTCTTTCCCAGCAGGTGTCACTATCCAAAATGCAGTTCATTTAGGAGGTAAATAGGCCAAGCTGGTAAGGATATATTTATTATATCCTCATATGCAGGGATATTTAAGCCACAAGGAGTACATGGCAAGGTTTAGCAAACTGTTCTTTTGGGAGGTTCAGTACTTCCTCATGACTTCCCAAAATAAATATTGATCCATATATGAAATACTGATCTGTACATACTAGGCCCCAGAATTTAAAAGATGAATAAATTTAGTATTACATGCAATCTTTTTTTGGGGGGAGGGGGTCTGTTTTCCTCAAACACAGCAGCTCTGATTAGATTTAAATAAGGGATTCAAAGGTCTCTAATTCTCTTCTGGGCTCTAGCACTGACATTTAATAAGGCACTGACAGTTGAGGTATCTTTTTTGCTTTTGTTTTCTTAAAACCATCCATGGAAATATCTTCTATCATAATATTACAGGCACTAGAAGAGTAACTCCCTGCTTGATTTAGGTTATATACCCAAGAACAAATTTTTAGTTGTTGTTGCCATTACCGTCCCCATTTCTATCACAGAGAGCATTCTTAGAGAAATGTCAGTTTCACTTTTGCTCAGGAATCTAAGTATAGGTCAAGGGGATAAATGAACTGCACCTGAATAAGCAGAAGGCATTTTCAGAGGCAGACACAAAATCAGCCAGTTAGATTCAATTGTTCCTCCTATGAATTTATGCAATAGAAAGTTTCCTGACTTTCAGAGCCTCTGGCTAGGAACTCAGGGTAGAAAGCAGCTGGCAGCAGACACCTGCTGGTCCATCACGAAGTAAAGGGAAGCGTTCAGGCTGGCTTCTTCTAAAGCACACAGAGGCTACAGTCCTTTCTAAGTGCTTCCCAGGGAGTCTGTTCAACTTTCTCCACAGCACGAGTACCACCATTTCTGCCTGATGGAGGAACTGGCCCCAGTGCCACAGCCTTGCTGAGAAGAGAGGGCCTCATAGTCTTATTCTTTATGCAGGATGGGGAATTGTAAGTAGTTGGATAATATTTTGGAAATAGCTTGTTGGTAAAACACATACCATTAGCTCAAGGTTTCTTTAAGAAAATGTAAAATGGAACAAAAACTGGACAACGCTGATCAGTTAGTTATTCCTACCTCAACCAGAAGAGGAAGCTTACACAAGATGGATATGAAAGTGATTAATTTTTCTAAATTACCAAAAAATTTTCTAACTTACAAAAGTAACTCATGAATCCATTTTTTTAAACAAAATTCAAACCTTAGAAGAATGTATACAGTGATATACGAAAGCCTACCTTCAACCCCCTCTTACCTCAGCCCATGCCCACTTGCCCCATCTGGATACCAGTCAATGCGGTTTGCATTCTCCTAGGCCTTTCCTATGCACACCCACGTGCTGTTTGGGTCTGTCTACTTTACATCGATGGATATGATGTCCAGGCTTCAATATGCCCATGTCACACAGAAATATGACACAATGGGAAAGTGATCTGAATCTGTTTTCAATTCCCTCATTAAGGAGTTATAACTTCCAAACCTTTGATACACTCTCATACTTCTGAAACAGTTACATAGTAAAGACACAAATATGTAGTAATTTAATGGCAACTAGAAAGACAGGCCTGCGAAGTCAAGAAAGATGGTAAAAAAATACCAGAACATAGCCTTTTCTCTTCCCATTAAAGTCTATACCCTGGGACCCTTTGCAAAGGTTTTCTTTAACCATTATTATTCTATATAATGCCATTCAATTCAGTTCTCTCTCCACTCAGGGTTTAACCCTTAGGCTAAAAACACCTGCAACCCAGGACCTTGATGGAAGTTTAAATTCAGAACTCTTAAGCAAAAGTGTGAGATGTACTCCTAAACTCTTTGTTGCCTATGACGAAGTCTCCAGTTCAGGATAACCAAGGTCTCCTTTCTTGAGACCTGTTCCAAATCCGACCTGCCTCGGTATTTAATAGAATGTTAAAACATTGGCGCTGTGCCCTGGCCAGTGTGCTCAGTCGTTAGCGCGTCAGCCTGTGCACCAAAGGCTCCTGGGTCCGAGTCCCAGTCAAGGGCACACACCTGGGTTGCAGGTTCAATCCCCAGCCCCGAATGGGGGGTGTGCAGGAGGCAACTGATGGATGTGTGTCTCACATCGATATTTCTCTCTTTTTCTCTCTCTCTCTCTCTCTCTCTCCCCTCCCTTCCTCCTCTTTCCCTCCCTTCCACTCTCTCTAAAAATCGATGAAAAAAATACTCTCCAGTGAGGGTTAACCAAAACACACACCAAAAAAACAAACAAAAAATTGGGGCTCTTCCTCTTGGGAGCGCACCAGCACCTTTCCCTTCCTCCTATTTGTCCCCCAGGCATATTACCTTTGCCTTTCTCTCTCCTGAGTTCCAAGGGCCCTTCTTTTGCTTCTGTAAATTGTTTCATGAGCCTACGCAGCCCAGCTGTCTCACTTCTACTACCTCTGTAACTTTCTCATAATTTGAAAAAAGAAAACATAATATAAGCAAGGATGTATTAATCATCCACTCTGACCCAGCACTTTATATAAGATGTCACCATGAATCCTCTCCACAGCCCTCTGCCAGTCTGGAAACAAAGCATTGGCAAGACTGGTGTGAGCTCATGTCTCACTCCAGAGCCTGTGTTTTCCTGACTCTGGCCAAAAATTAACCCTGTGAGAGGTTATAAAGTGTGTTCTGTGCCCGGCTGCTACTCAGAAGTGGCTTCAAGGGACAGGGAGAGGAGAGAACTATAATAGCCCCATGAAGCTGGGATATAACAGGTGAAAGCAGGAAGCTTTTAAAAAATTTTTTATATATTTATACAGTTTTTTTAATTTTTTTATATATTTATTTTAAAGAGAGAGGAAGGGTAGGGGAGAGAAGAAAAATCAATTTGTTGTTTCACTTATTTATGAATTTTCTGAATGAATGAAATAGCTGAACATTTGATAAGGTGTTAATTTCCAAAATACATAAAGAACTTATATAAACAACCCAATTAAAAAATGGGCAAAGAATCTGAATAGACACTTCTCAATGTCTACAGGTGGCCAATAGACATGAAAAAATGCTCAATGTCACTAATCATCAGAGATGTAAATTAAAACCACAATGAGGTATCACCTCACACCGGTCAGAATGGCTGCCATCAAAAAATCAACAAACCACAAGTGGTGGCGAGGGTGTGGAGAAAAGGGGACCCTAGTACACTGCTGGTGGGAATGTCGACTGGTGCAGCCACTATGGAAAGCAGTATGTAGTTTCTTCAAAAAATTAGAAATGGAGCTGCCTTTTGACCCAGTGATTCCACTCCTAGGAATGTATCCTAAGAATCCTGAAACACTAATCAGAAAGAACTTATGCCCCCCGATATTCATAGCAGCGCAATTTACAATAGCTAAAATCTGGAAACAGCCCAAGTGCCCATCAGTAGATGAGTGGATAAAAAAGCTGTGGGACATTTACACCATGGAATACTATGCAGCTATAAAAAAGAAGGATCTTGTACCCTTTGAGACAGCATGGAGGGAACTGGAGAGTACTATGCTAAGTGAAATAAGCCAGTCAAAGAAAGACAAATACCATGATCTCACTTATAAATGTGGAATCTAATGAACAAAATAAACTGACAAACAAAATAGAAACAGAGGCATAGATGCATGGAACAGAAAATTGTCAGAGGGGAGGGGAGTTGGAAGACTAGAAGAAAGAAGGTAAAGGTATTAGCCAAAAAAACACATATAAATAACACATAGAGACAGACAATAGTGTGGTGATGGCCAGAAGGAAAAGGGGGTGGGGGTAGATGGAGGTGGGCAAAGGGGGGAATGGGGATGGAAAGAGACTTTGCTAGGGGCAATGGGCACATAATGCAGTATGCAAATGATGTTTTATTGAGTTGTACATTTGAAATCTATATGGTTTTTTGAACCAATGTAATCCCAATAAATTCAATTAAAAAATAATAATACACATTTTAAAAAGGAAAAAAAAAGAAGCCCTGGTCCGGTATCTCAGTTAGAATGTTGTCCTGATAAGCCAGGGATGCAGGTTCAACCCTCAGGGTACATGCAAGGGTCAACCAGTGAATACATGAATGGTTGGAACAACCAACAGGTTAATCTTTCTTCTCTCTCTCTCTCTCTCTCTCTCTCTCTCTCTCTCTCTCTCTCTCTCCCCCCTCCCTTCCTCCCTTCCCCGTAAATCAATTAAAAAAAGTTTTTTTAAGTTAAAAAAGCTGAAAGTTTGTACTGCAATAAATGTCCATTAGAGGGCTCCCTTGACACTTGAGAACAAGACCAAATATTCTGCTAAATGTTTGACAGGGATATCCACAATTAGGTATTAATAAATGGGGGATGATCAGAGTACAATAAATACTTTAAAAAGCAGCACTCTCCCACACTTCCTTCTAGCTGTATGACCAGACTCCTTCCTGTGACTGTCTGCCTGGACCTACACACACACACAGTGAGGTAGCATTTATAAGTGGTAATAACACCACCTTCCTCAAAGGGTGGGGTGAGGAGTAAAGGAGATAATGCATGTGGAAGGGCTCAATATGTGGTGGTGGTTATTACTTCACATCAATTAACGAAAGTTCTTTTGTGTGTGTGTGTTACATCCCACCTCTCCTTCAGGCTCTCATTCTTGGTGACCCTGTGAACGAGCGATGTCCGCAATGTCCTGTCCTCAACAGCCCTGCTCAGCTCCTGTAGACTCATGCCTATGGCTTCTTTTATGGAGTCAGTCCATCTCATATTTGGTCTTCCTCTTTTCCTGCTGCCTTCTATTTTTCCCAGCATTGTTATCTTTTCCAAAGAACCCTGTCTTCTCATGATGTCTCCAAAGTACCAGTTTCAGTTTTGTCATTTTTGCCTCCAGCTATGTTTCAGGCTTAATTTGCTCTAGGACCCATTTGTTTATCTTTCTAGTGGCCCAGGGTATCCGTAGAGCTTTCTGCTAACAGCATATTTCAAATGAATCCATTTTTTTCCTATCCGCCTTCTTCACTGTCCAGCTTTCACATCCATACATAGCAAGTTACTTTATTTATGCCTTTTCCATTCTCCTGTGCCCAGATCCCACCTCTCCTTCAAGGGGCTCCTGCTCAAATACTGCCTCTCCTCTATATAATGAGCAGACATGCTCAATCCCCAACCCCAGTCCCCTTTTTGGCTCTCCTTTACCTTCCTTCCACAGCCAAGCTTTTGAGCAAAGTTGTCCACATTTCCATTTATTCAACTGACCATGATCAGTCTTCAAACATTCAGTTTCCCAGACATAATATACTCTGTCACACTTGCACCTCTTTGCACATGTGGTTTCTTTCCTCTGCTTGATACACCCTTCTCTGTCCTTCCTTATCTGTCTACTACTCACCGCTTAACGCTCCGCCAGCCTAGGAGGCCTGCTCAGACCCTCACTAGTAATCCAGAAGCTTTATGCCAATGTTGCTATGGCACCCATCTAGCACACCCATTATTCCTCTGTGCTGTAGCACTGTTATCTGTCTCCCCATGAGACCATTAGCCATTAATTGAGGACACAGACCATGTTTCATCTGCAGCATTTAACACGGTGTCTGGCATGGAGGAGTCACGTAAATGTTTGTCAAATAGGGCCCATATGCTCTTAGAATTAGCATTTGTTTAGTGTGTACTCCACAACAACCAGAAGGCAATTTGCAATAAGGAAGCTCAAAGACAAACACACACACCCTGAATTTCACAAGATATTGCAAAAGGCATATGACTATAAGAACTATGCCAAAGCCACTCTTCTTAGAATAATGGGCAAAACACATTTTGGTTAGGTGGAGCTCCACAACAAAGCAAAGAAGGTTGCTGTTTGATCACCAATTTTTCATGTTGAAAACCCAAAACTCGTAACTGACTTTGCCCTTGAAAAACTGCTGTAGAAGTTAGATTCTAGAAAATATTCCTCATTTTACAGAAGACTCTGAGCAAATAAATACATAAATGAGTCAGCAGGCCACAAAATAACTTTGCAGGGGAAAGGACTGAAGAGAGTACCTGTAGGTAAACCTTCTTCACGCCAGGCACATAGTCGGCAAGCCGGCCGAAGAGCAGCCGTCCAACTCCCGAAGTGATGCCAATGCACATGAGAACCACCTCCTTATTGCTTTCATCTTGAAACCTGTCGTTCACATATTTCACCTGTAGACCAAAGAGAAGGAAGCCACACTAAATACGGTAGGAAAACTTGACAAGTTTTAGACACTGTACAAATGCCTTAGGGTCTCTACAATGTTATGGACTCTCATCCCTTTCCAAATTCAAATATCTATAAAATGTGCTCTGCGAGAACATGAAGAAAAGCTAACATGCTTTAGCGTACATGAAAGGAATAAGAATTTTTATGAGGTCTTTTTAAATTTTTAGTACAGGGTAACGAACACACACTTTATAAGTTAACATCGATCCGTCGGCTAAAGGAAGAGAACAGCCTTTTGAACACGGCACACAACCTTGCTCTCTCAAGGTCACCCATGGATCCAGCACATTATCTCCTCCCCTGAAAGGCAGTTTAAGGATCAGTTCTGGAGTTTCATCTCCTCTGGGAGAGCCTGACCCAAACTGACACCTCTGAATTAAGTTGTACTGGAGCTTCCAGGATAAAAGCATAAGGTTCTCTACCTGTGAATTTGCCTATTTCTGTGACATTAGAGCAAATAAAAATACAGAGTCAGTTTAACATAGTGTTTAAAAGAAACGCCTCCAGGGACACTGCTTGGATTCAAGTCTTGGTTCCATTCCTTATCAGCCTTGTGACCCTGGGTAAGCTCTTAACCACTAGAACCTCAGTCTCCTTGATGGTAAATGGAGATAGCAACAGTACTTCAAGAGGGCAGTTGTGATGAATAAATATCTGTATAAAGAACTTAGAAAAGTACCTGGCACACAATTAATATTGATCAGATATTAATTTTAGTCTAATTATTTTAAAGGGGCCTTTCCTTTCATTTACAGTCTACTTAGAACAAGGACTGTAAACCAACAGCCTGACAATGTCTAAGAAGGCAGTGTGATCAGACAGGTGTGATACTGGGTGACAACACCCAGCTTAGCACCCACCGCAAGCTCTGCTCCCACAGCCCCTGAGTGTCACAGTTTGCCACACCTTTCTTAGCACTTCCATTTTCTTAGTGATCACCTATCTGTGCTCATGCCAAGGAAAAAAAGCATGTCTGTAATCCTACTGAGATGTTATAACAAACACAAACAGCTGTTTCAAACAGACTCACTGTCCCCCTACACCAAACACTGGCCTGAATTCGGAAACCTACACAGCAGATTTCCCAGCAAGTTCAAAGGCCCAGATGGTTCTCATGTGGCACTAGCAGCCTTTCTGGATGACATCTCCTTAAGAAACTTCCATTTCACATTTTTAAGCCCACTTGGTTATGCCAAAAGCATCACATCTGTCTTTTCCCTTTCAAAACTGGTAACTGTCCTCCTCCTGTATTTTCACACTGGTCCAGAATAATCCTCCTAAATATGGCTTTAATCTCATCAACCTCTTATTCACCAATTGCCCGCTGCCTACATTTATAACCCTTAGTTTGGCATTAAAAGCCCTCCTTAATCTGTCACCAGTCTATCTTTGTACCTTCGTTCCCTACTGATCCTTGACTCAGAAGTAGAATGCTCAAATGCCTATAGGACTCAGGCAAAGCACATAAAATAGGCTACTGGAGAGGGGGAGCACACAGTTGATTATTACCACATAGGACCACCAGTATTGCCAATCTACCTCCTAGCCCCCTTTTCTTTTAAAAGGGACCTCAGAAATCTGGATTTTTATGTGGAAATGTTAGCACCTAACTAAATTTAAAACACTGCATGATCCAGCCCCACCCATGCAAGCCAAACAAAACATGTCTGTAAACTGCATTAGGCTAGCTTTGATCTCAGTCCTAATCCATCTGGCCCAGCAGGATGGGTATATTCACAGTGTCCGAAACATTCTCACCTCTCTACATTTCTGCTCCCTCCTCTACCTTCTTTGACTTCCTAAATTCTATCCATTCTTTAAGACTCTGCTTAAATCCCACATTTTCTATAAAGCTGCCCTTGATTACCTCAGCCTTACACCCTCTTCTTGTTACTGCCTAAAGTTTTCATTGGCACCTTAAGAATTATGTTCCTACCCAGCCTTTATAGCTTCTAAGTCTACACATACCCTTGAGTAAACTCTTTCATGTCAAACTGAACATATCTACCTGCCTGTGACAAAGGTACCACAAAGTCAACATGCCCCATGCTGAACTCATCGCCCCTCACAACCTGCTCTCCCTCCATGTCAGCTAACACTACTACTACTGGCCCAACTACCCAAGGTAGAAACCTGGTAACTATCCTAGATTACTCCCTCCCTCTCTTCAAGTCCAACAGTCACCACCGAATTCTTATGGTTTTACCTCTGAATCTCTGTCACACACTCCCTTTGACCCACATTCCCCAGTGTTTCAGTTCGGGTTCTTACCACTCCTCACCTGGACCACTACAACAGCCTTCTAACAATGCTTCTTGCTTGAGCCCCCACTCCTAAATCTCTAACCTATATTTTCTGAAATCACCAGATTAAGTTCAATATTAAAAATACACTTCTCTTCAAGTCCCACTTGGGGTACCAAAAAACAGATAAAAATAAAAATAACACTTATCTGCCTAGGATCCTTTTATGGCTTTCATACCTTCAGGGTAAAGCTCAAATTCTTGGTTTGACATAGAAAACCTTCCTACTTTGCTACTGCAGGTTCACCCTCAGCTGCCTCCTTATATTCACCATGTTAATTAACACTGTGTTGTCCAATATGGCCTGGGCTATTGAGCACTTAAAATGTGGCTAGTCGAACTGCGATATACTGTAAGTGTAAAACACACAGCAAATATAGAAAGCTTAGTGGGGAAAAAGGCATGCAAAATACCTCAATAATTCAAAAATAATGATTCCATGCTGCAACAGTATTTTGGCTGTATTGGTTAAATAAAATATATTATGAAACTAATTTCATATTGTTTGTTTTTTACTTTTTAAAATACGGGGACAGGAGTGGGGGAGGGGGAGGAGGGTATGGGGGAATAAATGGTGATGGAAGGAGACTTGAGGTGGTAAACACACAATAGAGTGTACAGATGATGTGTTGCAGAATTGTGCACTTGAAACCTATATAATTTTGTTAACCAGTGTCACCCAATAAATTCAATAAAAAAGGGAGTAAAAATAAAATGTGGCTATTAAAATTTTTTAAATTCCATATGTGGCCTGCATTATATTTCTATTGAACAGTGCTGGTCTAAGAAATCCACTTGTGGCCACAAAAATAAGACAGCTGTCAGTAAGGGACCCAAACTGGCTTATTCCTCCGAGCCCTTATCACTTCCCAGAAGTGAGATTAGACAAAGTAGAAAGAGATGGATTCCATCTCAGTTCTGAAGAAAATGAATCACCTGATCTAAAGCAGGTGAGACAGAATTAAGTATACTCATTGGCTTTACTTGGAATTTGAATACAGACTCTACTGTATTAATCCACTTCAGGAAGCACCCAAAGGATCTATTATAACTTTTTTAAGAGGCATTTTTTAGTAGTTAAAAAAAGACTGAATTTTTCAGTTATTCTTTTGATGAAACCAAGAATACCTGCCTGTCAAATTGCTTTTATTCTTTATTAGTGGTTTATTTGTTTCCCCTGCTCTACTTTATAATCCTTAAGATGAATAATAAGGTGAAATGTTTTGAGTCTTTTGAAAGAAGGTAAATTTGGTAAATTCAAATTATGCTTAAGTGGAAACTTTGTTCTTCTTTCATAGAATTTTGGTACTGTTTAAATAAAGCAAAACATTCAGCTTCTAATATCCTGTCCCCACCCTCAGCCAAAATCTGCAAACTTAAACTAAAATTTTCTTTGGTCATTAAGTAAGGCAATCTGGAAGTCTGGAGAACAGAATCTGAAGATGCTAGATCTCTGGGTCCTAGAGGGCCTTCCTCATTGAGGTAGGAGTACTTGGGAGATCTGGTATGTTCTACTTACAGCCTGGGACTCCCATGATTGCTGCTGACTATTTAACAAATCCCTGACCATCTCTTATCCTCTGGAGACTGGCGTGTACTTTAGTTTAGCAGAAAGTATGAACATTGGGCAAAACTGACACTTCTAATAAACAGTTATATGGATAGGGACATGAAAATGTTCAACAGATGTTTCCACATTTAACCTAACTTATTTAAACCAATACAAAGCTTACATCAGAGGCCACTATTTACATAGGAGAAAACATCATTTTGTAGAGCAGTTGTTTTAAGTTGACTTTATCTAAATGTGTAAGTGCTTTTAGGGCAAGAATTAGTCTTTCATTTATGTTTTCAAACACTTGTTTACTCCAGGGCTACATACATCTCAGGGATTATTGTAGCCTTGCTGACAGACAGCTTGAACACTGCCTGCTCATTCAAGCAACAATGTTCCCTAACCACAGAGCCATTTTTGGATTGTGTGAAACCCTCTTTATTGATTTGTTATCAAAAGATAAACAAGAAATCATAACCCGAAATATCTGCTTATTCTATAGCCATGGAGAAAGAAGGAAACAAACAAACAAACACGGATCAAAGACCTAAATACAAGATCTGAAACAACAGATTACATAGAAGAAAACAGGGTACTAAACTTATAGACCTCGGACTTAGAGAATATTTTATGAATCTGACCCCAAAGGCAAAGGAAGTAAAGACAAAAATAAATTAATGGGACTGTGTCAAACTGAAAAGCTCTGCACAGCAAAACAAAGTGCCAACAAAACAAAAAGGCAACCAACCAAATGGGAAAAGATATTTGCAAACAACAGGTCCAACAAGGGGTTAGTGTCCAAAATATACACAGAACTCACTTAACGCAATACCAAAATTGAAAACATTTATTCAAAGAAATATATGTACCCCTACGTTCATTGCAGCATTATTCACAGTGGCCAAGACATGGAAACAACCAAAGTGTCCTCTGAGAGTTGACTGGGTAAAGAAGTGGTACATATATACTAGGGAATACTACTCGGCCATGAGGGAGGATGAAGTACTGCCATTTGTGACAACATGAATGGACCTTGAGAATATTATGCTAAGCGAAATAAGTCAGAAAAAACTAAGAACCATAT